AGACAGCCTATGGGCGAGTCCCGCCGCCGGGGGTCCCCACTCGGAGCTGGAAATGCTGCTGCAGCTGCGGAACTGGGGGAAGGGCTGAGACACCCCGGTAATGTCTCCTGGCCCCCTGAAGTGCCCCTGGGGACGGGAAGGCTGCGGCTGCTGGGAGTTCACGGAAACCCCAGCTAGCTGGGAAACCCGTCTCCGGCTAGTCTAGCCCCTGCCCTGGGACACAGCCCAGCCAGTCTGCCCCGGAGGAGGTGACCTTCCTAGCCCTGCTGTTTCCCCCACGAGGAAGACCTCCTCAGCCGGAAGCGGAGCACTGTCCCTGGAGAACACAGCCCCACGGACTGGCGGGAGGAGGGGGGAGGGGAGCGAGCGCCGGAGCCCCCAGGGGGGGTCGCACGCGAGAAGTGCAACACCCGAGAGACTCCTGCTCTGCCGGGGGAGCCCAGCCCCGGGGGAGGAGCAGCCACTTACATTTTTGGTGCAGCAGCCTCTCCAGAGATTCCCCCCACTTGAGCGCTTCCTCCGGGCTCGGCCTGCAACAGAAGGAGCTGTCACTGGAAAGGCAAAGCCCTGCCTGGGCTCCCGGCCGGATCAGACCCTGCCTCTGCTGCCCCACTGGGCCGAAGGCACCCCGCTTCTCCCCGGCGGGCAGCACTTTCGGGGCCCTGGCGGGGGGGAGCAGGGCAGAGCTAGGCAGCCCCCTCTGCCCAGCCCGAGGCTCAGACAAAGGGCTGCTGGGGGGCAGGAGAGCCGCAGCGCGCAGGCTGGTGGCCCAGGCTGGGCACTGCGAGGCCGCCCAGTCCCCGGGTTTAGCGACAGCTGGACCCGCTCCGAGCCCAGGATACCAGAGGCCAGGCCACTGGAGCCAGGGCTAGGGCCCAGACAGGCTCCCCCGCGAGGGAAGGGGCCAGAGGAGTCCAGACCCTGCGCCGTTTCACACGGCCCGGCGGGGCCCATGGGACCCTGGGGCGAGCAGGCTGGGCACTGCGAGGCCGCCCAGTCCCCGGGTTTAGCGACAGCTGGACCCGCTCCGAGCCCAGGATACCAGAGGCCAGGCCACTGGAGCCAGGGCTAGGGCCCAGACAGGCTCCCCCGCGAGGGAAGGGGCCAGAGGAGTCCAGACCCTGCGCCGTTTCACACGGCCCGGCGGGGCCCATGGGACCCTGGGGCGAGTCGGTGGCTTCGGACAGGTGGGCCACAGCCCCGTGACACGGTGGCCCAGCCCCGCGCCAGGGGAGCGGGAGTCCTTGGGGGAGGTTCGCCGGCCTGTGTGAGGCAGGAGCTCAGAGGGGATGGGGACAACGGCCCACGTGGGCCTTAACAGCCGTGTCTGTTGCTGGCCAAGCCTGTCCCCTGCTGTCACGGGGGGAGGGGAGTAGCCAGCTCCGCACTGGCCCTGAGGGCTTCGCTCAGCTGTGGCCTGGGATGGGGGCAGCAGGGCAGTTCCTGCCCCCCCGGCTGGTTGTCCTGGCGACCCTGGGCCAGCTCTGCACCGAGTGGTATCCCAGCGCCATGGGCACCCCCCCCACAGCAGCTCTGGCAGCCCGGTGCCTCCCGCCGCCAGGACCTACTTGAGGGATTTCACTGCTTTGTCCAGCTTGGGGTTGCCTCCCGGAGACTCGTTTCGCCGTCGGAATATCCCCAGGCGGTTCTTCATGTCTTTGGCCCTGGAGAGAAGAGCGGGTTTCAGCGCCTGGGGCGGGCAGCTCTGCTGGGGAGACGGTCCCAGGGCAGGGCCCCACGTTCTCCCGCAAGGCAGCTGGCGGCAGAACCCACTGCCAGAGGGCGGCTACTGACCCAGAGGCAGAGGGACTTTAGGGCCCAGCGGGAGAGGCGCCCCCCCCGGCTGAGCAGGGGCCAGACGGAGCAGCCCGGGGCAGGCCTGGCTAGGCGCGGCCCCCCGCGGGCGCGGGCGCG